AAACACTTCCAAAACCATTATGGATATACTCAGATCCTCAAACACTAATAGCAATAATATTTCTGAAGCAGGCATTTATAAAATAAATTGCCAAAACTGTTCCTCCCAATATATTGGAGAAACAAGTAGAAATTTTAAAAAAAAAAAAGCATTTATGAGCACAAAAGAGACCTCACAAAAACAACTTAACTAATGCACTAGTCATACATAGAAATAAATTCAACCACAATTTTGATTTTAAAAATGCTACACTCATAAAAAAAAAAATAACTCACTCAGAAGGAAAATCCTCGAGAGTGCCGCCATTGAATATTATCCAAATATTAATCTACGCCCAGGCTTTTTTCCCTATTTCACCTTTCCTAACAGAATTACTACTCTCCCAAACAAACGTAAACAGCAGTATCAAGAAATCTAAAGAAAATGGTTGGATCCGTCAACACAACAATAAAAACAACATTTCCACACGCGATGGGATTTAACTTTTCAGTTGACAATATGAATAGCGTTTTCTAAATTCTTCAAGTTGCAAAAGACATTTTGTTTTGTTATTATTAGTTACTTTGTTTAATAAATTCATTTCGTTTTTGCCTTGAAAATTTCCACATTGTACGAAACGCGTCGGCTAATATTACAGTTTTACTATTGTCTTCTACATTTATAAACAATCATCTATCATTTCTTCGGTTGAACTTTAGGTCCAGGTGAAAGTTTTTATCATATATAAATATAAATATTCCAGTCTGTATGATGTCTGAATTTGCTCATAAAGATGGCATTCAGAAGATTATCTTTTGTCTTTGAAGACATGAATTGTACCCTCAACATCACATATGACTTTTTATCGAAGCTCCCAAAACACAATTCTGCTGGTAGAGTACCTTTCAACATTGAAATTTATAAATAGCAAATTACCTTTCTATATTCTTATCGATATTATATATATATATTTATATATATGAATCTAGGGGTTCTGATGGAATTAGGAGCCTTAAAAATAATGAAATAAAAATCTATGCTAATGTTGTTTTGAATCATTGTAAAACAATTGCTTCCATTTTTCACGAAATTTGACGACAAATGGCCGCAACATTGACCTATCAAGCCACTGAGGAAACATCGGTGAAATATTTTGCTCACCAGGAAAAAAAAGTCAAATCATTCTAGGCTCTCGATGTTCCAACTTCGATTTGGGCAGATCAGATGGTTATTAGATGGTCATCTCTTGCCTTTGCAGATATAAATCGGACCCTCAGCATCACACATGACCTTTAGGAAAGCTCCCCGTGCATAATTCTTCCGGTTGAATCATTGAGTTTTTTTTTTATAAATAGCGTTAATTAGCTTTCTAGTGTCCTTATTATCAATAAGACACTAGAAAGCTAATTAACACTATTATCTACACTTTTTGTACAAATCTGTCAGCATTTATTTGAAAAGTTATTCCTTTGCTCATTCACCCAATCCAAAGTCTCGTAACCTTCTCCAATACCTCTTGATGATCAGCGGCATTGACCCAATAAACCCCTGAGGAAATATTGCTCACGACTCCCAGATGCATTTGCTAGAAACTTTGTATGCCCAACCGTTGCAATGTGCTTAGGGTTTCTCTATACTCATCTCTTATTGGTTCAGTCGACTTTTTAGTCCCGGTCAAAGTTTTTGCTCACCAGAAAAAAAGTCAAATCATTCCCGGCTCTCGATGTTTCAACTTTGCTTTGCGCAAATCAAATGGTTACCTCTTGTCTTTACAGACATGAACTGGACCCTCAGCATCGCATATTACGTTTATCGAAGTTCCCCATGCACAATTCTTCAGATAGATTGTCTTGAAACATTGAGCTTCTTATAAATAGTGTTAATTAGTTTTCTAGTCTCCTTATTGATAATTATCTACACTTTTTGTACAAATCTTGGTGTTTTGGTTATATTAAGAGACTCAGCAATCCTTTTTTATACTGCTGGTGTAGAATCTCCGTCAGTGAATTACAGCTCGAAATTTGATGACCTTGTAACTTTCAGGAAGCGAGAAATGTGTAAACCACTATGCTCTGCGTGTAAGTTAAAGATTACAGTGTGCTGTGTTTGTCAGCATTTATTTGAAAATTTATTCCTTTGCTCATTCACTCAATCCAAAGCCTCACAGCCTTCTCCAACAGATCCGATGATCACCGACTTTAATCCAATAAGCCTCTGAGGAAATATTGCTTACGACTTCCGGATCCATTTATTAAAAACTTTGTATACCCAACCGTTTCAATGTCCTTAGGGTTTCTCTATAATCATTTCTTATTCCTTCGGTCGACTTTTTAGTCCCGGTCAAAGTTTTTGCTCACCAGAAAAAAAAGTCAAATCATCCGAGGCTCAAGTTTCAACTTTGCTTTACGCAAATCAGATGGTTACCTCTTGTCTTTTCAGACATGAATTGAACCCTCAGCATCACATAAGACTTTTATCGAAGCTTGTGGTGAAAATTTTCTTCAGATAGAAGCCTTGAAACATTGAGTAAAATAATTATAAATAGCGTCAATTTTTGTCATTCTTCGTCCTATCGATAATTATTCATTTTAAATGTAGGAAACTAGATGTTTCTGATTTGATCAATAAGGTACTCAATAATCCATTTTACACTGCTGCTGAATCAAGGTCAGTGAACCAAAATTGACAGTATCCAATTTGAAGACAAACGACATTTAGAAAAAAAAATTAAAATAGTTAGAATTGATCTGTAAACCCCTACCCTCTGTCTTTATGGAATCGATTATAGCGTACCTTTCCATTTGCTAAATCAGCCTAATGTTTATCATATTTTTATGTGCCACGTCCCTTCAATAAAAATTTTGAAATTAACAATTTTAAACTAATCGATTAAATTTTGTTTTGGAAAAATAAAAGATGTCCCATCACTTTTTTTCCCCAACTAAGAAACCATTCGTCCATTTCTTTATCCCTAACAATTTTCATGCGTTGCTTTTTCTTGATTTTTCTTCTATTCGAAAATCCTTCATTGGATTCCAATTCTCCTTTCTCATTATACGTCCCAAAAATTTCATCTGCTCCTTCCTTCTGTTAAGGATAAAATTCCTGCTTGTTAAATAAATCCTCCCAAAACCTCACCATTACTACCGCTCGGTCCATAATTCAGGAAAGAAAAATGTCAGAATAAGGTAAAATTATTAAAAAGACGTGTTCTAAAAGTAATGAAAAAAACTGCATATATCTGTGCGATTTATTATCTGTATACTTGTATATATGCATATATAAATATATATAGATGAATGAATGTGTATGTGCTGTAGAATCCCGATTTTCCGGGCTTTGAGAGAAACAAATAAATCAACATTCAGAAGAAATAAAATAAAACCAATGCTCCGCTATATCAAAGAATAGAGCGTACATTTGCCAAGAAAAGTTGAGGTTTAAATTTCATTTATCTGGAAAGAAATGTCAAAGAACAAGTTAAAAAATTTTTAAAAATCTAAAAAGAAATTGGTGTCTTTATTTCTGAGATTTAATAATTTGTAATCTTTAATACAATTGTCTTTAAAGAATTCCAATAATCTTTGTCGCCATATTTATTACAACGTTTCGGCCGTTGTAATTCCGGCCTTCTTCAATGGAGATGAATATCGAACTGAACCCTTTATTTCGCTCACTGGAATACACTGTTCTAACTCCACGCGTCATGGCGAATGGATGAGGGATTCTATGCCGATAATTTAAATCCAGTTGTACATAATTTTGTGAAAGTCTTCTTGGTCCTATATATCTACCTATACGGAAATATATCCAAATATTGTATATAAATATGGCAACAAAGATTTAAAATAATTATCCGAATAATGTAAATATCCAACAAATACCTCATCTCAGATATATAGACAGATACGGAAAGAAATAAAACTTTTGTAATAAATATGAGACAAAGATGAACAATAGTCCGAATAATGTTAATTGTTAATTTACATAAAATTCATCTCATGAAATATAACCTTGTATACTGAAAGGCCGAAACGTTGTTGAAATGTTTGGCGAAAAAAATGAGGATTATAAAGTTTCATAAATGAAAGGTAAAATGAATCAAAAAATATGAATCATCTCAGAAATATAAACAGATAAGAAAAAAAAAACGTTGTAAAAATTTGAATTAAAGATGAGGATAATGGTCCGAATAATGTAAATAGTGTACTAATAATCATCTCAGATATATAGACAGATACGGATGAAAGAAACTTTTTATAAAATATTGCGACAAAAAATGAGGAAATAGTCCAAATAATGTAAATAATGTTACTAAAAGACGTTCCTGAAATTTACCAGAACCCTTTCCAGATATAAAAATTATTGGAAAAACGAAAATTATTGAGTATAGAAAAAATAGAAATCAAAATTTTTGACGCAAAAAAATTTTGTTATTCAATTGCAAAAAAAATTCCGTTCTAGAAATGTAATATATAACAAATTCTTTCATTTTTGGTCTAATCTGTCTCTTGTAAAGGTAAATCGATATATAAAAATGCAAAAGAAAAAAAATTTCCAAGATAAAAAAATAGAAAACTTCAATCTCCTTTTATTTATCACTGGTTGTAATCCCTAAGTAGATTTTCTAGACACTAAAATTTCGAAAAAGAAGACAAAAATCAATAAATCGATTGAATCCGCCAATCTATTGCCCGTTAAATTATTTGACGACTTCATTGGTTCGATAATCGCTCTTCTATTAAGGGCGCAACCATTTGTCTTGAATATCAACATTGAGCCAGAAATTTAAAAAATGAGTCACCTGAAAATGAAAATTTATATGCAATCCGTATTTTCTTAAAGCCTTGATCTTTTCTTTTCTTATGAATTCCTCAACCCGCCCCGAAAAATATTTTTTTCCAATCAAAAATTGTACTATGAAGGAACGATTTTCGTTTCACTTAGGATTTTTTAGAGATTATCAGATGCTGGAAAAAATAATAGAATAATCCCAGAATGAAAAAAAAATATTTTAATTCTTAGAAAAATGATAAAATTGTTCTGGACAATGAAAAAAAATTAAAAATAATGTCGATGAAATGGAAAGGATGAAAAAACAGTAAAAAAATAGGAATAGATAAGAAAGAAAGATAGAATAGATAAAAGATAGATAGATAGATAGATAGAAAAAAGATAAATAGATAGATATTAAGAAAAAAGAATGAAAGAAAGAAAAATTTACATAGATAAATAATGAACAAATAATGAAATAAATAGATATTAAAAAGAAAGAAAGAAAGAAAGAAAAAAAAACATTCACATAGATAGATAGATAGATAGATTGAAAAAGATAGATAATACAAATTTAAGAAAGAAAAAAGAAAAGAAAGAAAATAGAAATGAGAAAAAAGAAGGAAGAAAGAAATAAAAAAAAAAGATTCAAATAGATAGATAGATAGATAGATAGATAGATAGATATATAGATAGATAGAAAAGAAAAGAAAACTTCAGAAAGAAAAAAATAAATGTTTTAATTATTAATCTCCATAGATTAGATATATAGATAGATAGATAGATAAATATTAAGAAAGAAAAAAAGAAAGAAAAAAAAAGATTCACATAGATAGATAGATATTAAGAAAGAAAGAATGAAAGAAAGAAAGATTTACATAGATAAATAATGAACAAGTTGAAATAAATAGATATTAAGAAAGAAAGAAAGAAAGAAAGAAAGAAAAACATTCACATAGATAGATAGATAGATAGATAGATAGATAGATAGATAGATAAAGATTAAAAAAGAAAGAAAGAAGAAAGAAAGAAAGAAGGAAGAAAGAAATAAAGAAAACGATTCACATAGATAGATAGATAGATAGATAGATAGATATTAAGAAAGAAAGAAAGAAAGAAAGAAGGAGAGAAAAAGATCCACATAGATAGATAGATAGATAGATAGATAGATAGATAGATAGATAGATATTAAGAAAGAAAGAAAGAAAGAAAAAGATTCACATAGATAGATAGATATTAAGAAAGAAAGAATGAAAGAAAGAAAGATTTACATAGATAAATAATGAACAAGTTGAAATAAATAGATATTAAGAAAGAAAGAAAGAAAGAAAAACATTCACATAGATAGATAGATAGATAGATAGATAGATAGATAGATAGTGAACAGGCTGAGATAGATAGATAGATATTAAGAAAGAAAGAAAGATTTACATAGATAATAATGAACATAGATAGATAGATAGATAGATAAAAGAAAAAGATTCACATAGATAAATAGTTTAAAACAAATTGAAATCGATACATACAAAACTGATTTCTCATTTTTATTATCCTTTCCTTTGATTACATATACGCATTTACTGGACTTATTGTCATCCTGTCAAGATTTTAGAAATGGTTAACATCTACAGTGGCCAAGAAATAGGGGATGATTTTAATACTAAAAAACAATACAGAATTGAGCCCTCACTTTTATGATATTTATATTTTATTGAGAATTACTTCGATTTTTATCCTGGAAAATTATTTTTTATTTTTTTTTTTTGTAAAGAAATCCTCTTTCACCATCGGATACCAGCAACATTTCGATTAATTAGATTCAGATCAAAAATGGAATAAAGCTGCCTTGAGTGTTTTCTACACTGCAGCCCCTTTCCCCACAGACAAAATGTTGGAAGATTCTCGCTACTCTATCACTATTCCCCATGGAAGGTTTTCAGAAGAACATTTATTAAATATTATTTTAGCTTATTCAGACTATTGTCCTCATCTTTTTCGCCATATTTATCACAACGTTTCGGCCGTTGTAAAAATCCGGCCTTTTTCAGTTGGTTTGGAATGTCGAACTGAACCCTTTATTTCGCTCACCAGGTAGACTGTTTGGGGTTTCACGTGCCATGTTTGATGGATGTCAGTTATCAGTTATCTCCTGCTAATTTTCCCTCTGAAAGTTCTCCAACCAAATTAACCAGGTATTGAACTCACACTCTTTGGATCCTGTCACTGGATCTTTAAAACGCCTTTATCCACTGTGCCATGTAAAGGAGGTTAAATAATTACATAATACATCATCTCAGAAATATAAACAGACTTTTTATTCATTAGTTCTACAAGTTCTGACTTCCCGGCTAAGACCCGCTATGCTACGCACATTGACACGAACCCACCTCATAGATGTATAAATTAAATCCATTATTAATGGTTTTAATAGAAAAATAATAATGTAATTGAGTCCGAGAGAGATTTCCACAAACGAGAAATGCGATGGAAGAAACTGTTAGCATAGAACTTACGGTTACATCTAACCATTTCAGCTGTAAAATGATGAGACCTATCTGCCAATCTAGTACTGCGATTGCATTCATAAAGTCTAGGTAACATAGAGTAAAGTTCTTTATATCAACTACTCTGAAAGTATTTTTAGAAAAGACGCACGGAAGCAACGTTACGTGGGTAGGAAAGGGCCTGAAGCCGAGATGCCAGATCAGGACCAATAACATTACAGTTTCTTGTTTGGATTTTCTCAAGGACTTCTAAATATATAGTAGGATCATTAGACCAGATGTGGTGGCAATATTCAAAGCAAAGACGAATGGTAGTCTTATAAATCTGTAAGATAGATTCTGGAGAGAAAAATTGTTTAGAAACGACTTAGTGACCGAAATTTCTAAGATTCAGATTTAGCAATTGATTCAATTGTTTATTTGCAAAACATTTCAGATGAAAATGTTAGCCCAAGAAAGTGCAATAAGTTACTTTCCTAGAGGTTAGCATCAGCCAGACTGATGGAAGGCAAAAAGTGTTCCCTCGGATTATTAAAATGCATCACACTTATTATAAAACCCAGGTTGTGTGTGTGTGTGTGTGTGTGTGTGTGTGTGTGTGTGTGTGTGTGTGTGTGTTTATATATTGGATCGGATTTCCTACATTTTTTAACCGATTTCAAATAAAACTTCACAGGACTACGTAAAATTACATTGCGGTGGTTCTGAAAGCGCCAAAATTTGAAAAAATTACAATTGTTTTTGCACGAAATCAATTTGAAAACACGATTAAGAGGCATCGCGAGAATGAAAGGGGACAACTCATATCGAGTTATACTTATTATAAAACCCAGGTTGTTGTGTGTGTGTGTGTGTGTGTTCGTTTTATATATGGGATCCCATTTTTTCAACCGATTTCAACAATTTTTTTTTTAGGTAGTGTTTCTTATTGTCTTGCACACTTTTTTTTTATTTTTACATTCAGAATGCTTTAAAAATTCCATTTACAAGACAATTGTTTATAATAAAATTCAATTCAATCGGTAGAGACACATAACGATTGAAAACAATGTTTTTGTTTGAGTTTGGGTTTGACCAATTCGTAAAAAAAAACTAATTAAGACATGCGTGTCCGTCAACCTTAAACAATAATCTTTGTCAATTTTATTTTTCAGTGTTTATGATGGTCGATACTTGATCTATCTCTTACTGTTACATCGCCGGGCAACGCCGGGCTCTACTGCTACTTATGAATATATTATTAGATATAGTGAGAGTAATCAATGAAGGGATTGTCAGTGGTCAGGAATGTATTATAACGTTTGTAACTATATAAGTTTCATATATGTATAAATTAAATATATTGTTAATGGTTTTACTATAAGAATAGCAATATTATAATGAAGCACGCTGATGACGCTGATGACGATGACGACGAAAATGACGATGACTTCCTCTCCACCTAATATGACTAATTAAAGCAGAATAAATTAATGGTTGGTGATATTATGTTGCCGTTGATGGCCGCGAAAAACAAGCCTAGACGTGTATTGCCGACCACCGGCTGGACACTGAATGCCAACACCTCGTCGTGGTAGCCTAGGTACCAGGCAATCATAATGTTGGTCTTATGTTCGGTCCGAGTTGGTCTTCAATGGCCTGACGGGATAGTGTCCAGCACGATTTAATGAACCAAGTTTCTTAACTGCGGATTTAGAAATTGACTAGCGGTAGAGCCCGGCGTTGCCCAGGGATGTAACAGTAAGAGATAGATCAAGTATCGACCATCATAAAGACTAAAAAATAAAATTGACAAAGATTATCGTTTAAGGTTGACGGACACGCATGTCTTAATTTTTTTTTTTTTTTTTTTTTTTTACGAATTGGTCAAACCCAAACTCAAACAAAAAATTTGTTTTCAATCGTTATGAGTCTATCGATTGAATAGAATTTTATTATAAACAATTGTCTTGTAAATGGAATTTTTAAAGCATTCTGAATGTAAAAATAAAGAAAAAGTGTGCAAGACAATAAGAAAACACTACCTGCCAAAAAAAAAAGTGAAGTTTTGTTGAAATCGGTTGAAAAATGGAAATCCGATCCCATATATAAACACACACACACACACACACACACACACACACACACACACACAACACAACCTGGGTTTTATAATAAGTATAACTCGATATGATATGTAAGTATAACTCGATATGAGTTGTCCCCCTTTCATTAATGCCTCTTAATCGTGTTTTCAAATTGATTTCCTGCAAAAACAATTGTGTTTTGCCAATTTTTGGCGCTGTCAGAACCATCGCAAGGTAATTTTACGTAGTCCTGTGAAGTTTTGTTGAAATCGGTTGAAAAATGTAGGAAATCCGATCCAATATATAAACGTACAGACACACACACACACACACAAACACAATCTGCGTTTTATAATAAGTAAGATTCCAGATACTCTTTTCACTTCAAGTCTGTTTAAAGAGGTAATGAGTCACTCTCCTTGAGGTTTACATCAGCCATACTGATGGTAGGTAAAAACGGTTCCCTCGGATTATTCCAAATAATACAGTGAGAGTCATCAAGGAAGGGATTGTCAGTGGTCAGGAATACAATAAAACTTTTGTAACTTTATAAGCTTCATGTATGTATAAATTAAATACATTGTTAATGGTTTTACTATAATAATAATATCATAATGAAGTCCATCGATGATGACGACAACGATGTCCTCTCGACTCAATGAGAATAATAAGCACTGAAGAAGAAATCAATGGTTGATGGCATTACATTGGCTTTGATGGCTGTGAAAACCAAACCGAGAAGCATATTGCCGCCTACAGGACCACTAAAATTCTAGACGACCAGATGGTGGCGGTGTCCCACCCAACAGGCTCTCATGACGTTGTTGCTGGCTAATTTCCTTTTCGGCTATTTTGAAATCATTCAATGACCTGACGCCATAGTTTCATTCCATCTGTTGCGATTAACGGACGTAACTTCAAGTTCCACATGATTAATCTGGCTCTGTTTTAGAATTACTTTCATGCGTTATTTGAGTCGTTTCTTCTGTCTTCCAAGAGTTCTCCATATAGGATCACCTGTTTCTGCATATGTAGTAGCTTTTCCTTTATATAAAGAACTGCCGCTATAAATTGGCAGGAGCTACACACTCTTCTCCACCAAAAATCAATACGCGCAATAACTTTATTTCTTCACTATAATGGTCTGCCTAAGAGTATGCTCCGGATATTTCGAATATCTACCTTAAGGGTACAAAGGTATATGGATGCACCACTAAAATCCTAGACGACGAGAACCTGCCAGCTGATCTCTACTCTGATTGAGATCTAACAGCTCAGATTGGGAAAACTGGCTGGTCACATTCAATACTACAAAAAAAAAAAAAACTAGAGACATTTCATTATCGCTGAGTGGACACTGAATTTTCGTCTATTGCGATGAACGGTAATTCTATCGGAGATGCCCTGTGTCTTGTGCACCGATTGGAACTGAAGCTTATCCCAGAGCACAAATGGATCGCGTTCATGTGATCCATCACATGCTATATTCTAACTTGACAAAATCCAGATGGGATACGGCTGTATGCCATACCACACGAACATCCAAATTTACAGATGTTATTCCTAAGCGTTTACTCATCTAAATACTGACCTGACTCAACGTTGCTTAGCATCGATGATCGATCGAGTACCCGTGTTTCAACGTGATATGGGTATTTACCAGTGCGCCGACGTCATAAACGAATTTGACACAAGGCCAGTTTAAAGTGGGTTTATACGCAACATAATATACTTACCTGGCTTATGTCAGAGGGTATCCCCAGACGAGGCTCTGCCGAAAAAATAAAGTTAATCAATTATAAACAGAATCCAATTTTACGTGGTCTAAATAATTTTTAAAAGGGCCTACAAGCACGGATTTTAAATTTTAAAAAAAAAT